CCGCGCAAAAATAAAATAACGTCATTTAAAAAAGACTTTGCGAAATTCAGACAAAGCACAGCATTTTCCTTACAGTTCTGATAATGTTATGCCATGCGTTTTTCGGCCAACTGCAAAGGGCCTATGTATAGCTGTTGCCGCGTACGAGCAAATGAACAACTTTTCTGTTTGTCAGAGTGTGTCTGTATCGGTGCACATTACTTTATGCTTTTCCCTCGGTTTCCTACTTTTAGGAATTCAATCAACGCCATCAATCCAAAACAAATCAAAACTTTCAAGAGGACATTGCAATTACGGGCAAGTTACATGCCGGAGTTATCGCTACTGCATTCCGGAAAGTTATGAATGTGACGTGATAGTAGATTGTTCAGATGGGAGTGACGAGGATCATTGCAACAGTACTTTATCTACTGGTATGTTATAAAAATCAGGTTTTTATTTCTCAGACCGAGTGCAGATAACAACTTTAGAGTACGTGCTTTAGCCATCATTCTCAATTATAACCGTATTTCATACAGTTACTGGTTTGTTTATCACTGACACAGATAGTGATAATCTTTTATTGTGCTGGGGCCGGTTGTATGAAAACGTCGTTAACTTAAACTATGATTAGCGTTAATCACTGTCGTTAATTCCTTAAGTATATGATTAGTTAATTACACGACTTAATTGCGTTGCACAAAACGTAGTTTGTCGGATGATTAACTAATCAAGTATAGTTAACTTGCGCGGGGCTTGCGTGGGGCGTTTTAAACACAAAATTACATAAAGTAAGCAGCGATTAACGACCGCCGACAGGCATTTTTAACATGATTGTGGACTCGCATTTTGCAAATAGGCGGGAATTTTATTCAAAAATCAAAACAGTGAAAAATAAGCTAGAAAACAAGGAAAAAATTAACGGATTATATTAATTTTACTTGAGATGTCTACTGTACGTTAAACCAAAGTGTAACTGTTTGGCAATTATATATCATGTTTCTTCGTGTAATGGACCCTGTACATCGTCTTCGAGAAAGCTTCCCGTGCAAAAATTTATTTTGTTTTCGCCGAAAAACCAAAGCGATAGCGTTTGAAGAGTTTATATTGTCAGAAAACATTCACAGGGAAGATAGCGATTGAAAATCCCAGATAAGCATTACTTTTCATTGTTGTTTTACTGAAAAATGTTGTTCCACCTATACAAGCGCCATTTTTAACTACGTTTTGACTTTTGAGAAGTTAACGATACCCTAAACATCGACATCGTTATTATAACTTTATAACTGCGTTTTAACTACAGTTAACGCTAACCACTTTTTTATACAACCGAGTTAACTACGTGATTAAAGTTATAACCACTATTTAACTACAAAATTTCATGTATGTGATTAAGAAAGTGATTAAGAGTTTTATACAACCGGCCCCTGGATTTGTACTAGTTTAAACGGTAAACAACGGTTAGTTCTCAGTGTAGCTAGTAAAGCTTAGTCCTCATTAGTATTAACACAAGCACCAACGAGAAACAAGGTACTAATAACTTTTGGAAGGAATAGTGGTTTAAAAAAGTGGTAGATTTTCCCTAGCTTGGTAATCGTTCCATGTTTCGCGCACCAATATAGTACACGTTATCTAATGGATATTATAGTGTACTGAAAAGTTAACTGGATACCTCCATACCCATATATACACACCCTAACATCTAACCCCTAACCTAACCCCAACCCTAATACCTAACCCTAATACCTAACCCTAATACCTAACCCTATTACCTATATTGGTGCGCGAAACGTTATCGAAACGATAACCCCTAGCTTAAACTTCAAACTGTTGGTTCTCAGTGTAGGTATTATTAGTGGTCTTGTAATACACGTCCTTTGTGGCAGATTATCACTATATTAAACTTCAAACGGTTGATTTTTGGAATACTAAATTGTGTTAGTATCAGAATATATGAAAATCCCAAACCGAAGACTGTATAATTATTTCTGACGATAATAATATATATTTTCTCGTATTTTGTAGCTTATTCTTCGATACTCACTACGTCTACACAAGGTACAACAATTATACTACTAAACGTTCTGGTATCTAATTAGACTACATTGAAAAAATGAAAAAAGTTCTAAAATTTCGTTCTTATTACTGTAATTTGGCTTTAGTACAACAAAACCAAGATGTAAACTAATTTGGAAGTTTATGGTCGGATATACAGGACCTTTTCCACAAGTAATCATTAAAAAAACGCACAAAATAATATTCTCAAAATCTTCTTTTATTAAAGAAGTGAAGTAAATTTATTCCCATGCACTATAGTTGTATCATCACAAAGTGTTTCAAATTGTCAATATTGGTTTGAATTAAAATGAACAAAAATATAAACTACAGCCATACCTTTCGCCGAACATAACTTCGGCCCCTTTGGACATATCTTCTTTGTAATAGTTTTGTTCGAGTCATTATCAGTAACACTTTCTAGTGTGTTCTTTTCGAACTTGTATCTTCAAATTTGCATCTTTATCACGGTATTGCCATTTCTTGTCCGACTGTGAGCTAATCCCAACCCGGCCGGACAATTTTAAAACGTCAAAACAATGCGACGTTAGGGCTATGACTCTGGAATGCCAGAAAACGATTCCAAAGGTCAAAAGTGCACAACTATGTTTTTATCTGCTCAATGCTTTTTATCTCCTGGTGCTAGTAATTCAGTAGATGCATGTACGCCACAGCGGACCTATGTTTAATAGGAAGATAGAAGCTTAATAAATTTCTCCTCTTAAATGGAGCTTGTTATTGTTGTTTGGCAGGAGGATTGTATAGAAGAGGGCTTGTTTGGGAAAGGATTTTTATAAATATATATATTTTAAATATATTAAATATATTTGAATGAGGCGCTAGCGTCTTTTTTGTAATATACTCAGTGGTTTTGAAATCATTCCTAGTCAACACCTTCGAGTGTAGTCGAGTGTATCTAAGAAAATTACTCAAATTACTGCCAGTTCATTCGTACGAATTTTTTTAACGTGGAATCAAAGTGGCACAGCTAATATCCTATGTGTCTTGTTAATGCATTTTTAAAAAATAGCTAATTAAATTATAATTCTCGGTTATGATAGAATGAAACACCAATGGCAGGACACAATATGTTTAAATTAACATTTCAATTTGTTTTATTCTTGTAGAAAGTAGAATCAGTACATCAATTCGACCTTCGTCAACAGGTGAGTATAATGTAAAAATATTTTACTTTGTAAACTTCATCCTATTCTTGGTTTGGCTGCCTGAATTCGTTTTCCCATAATTTTTACCCCCTTGTCTTGTCAGTTGTCTGTTCCTTGATATTTATATCTTCTGCGCATATCCGGATCTCCAATTCCAAATCTGCAGTCTCGATACTTCGCCCTTTTCCGCCTGCGCTCCTTCGCTCGTGTTCCAAGATCGTCATGTAATGTGTTTTGAAATTTATCTCAATACTAATCGTAATCATAGCCAAAAGAAGCATCTGCGGAGGAGAGAGGTCTCGATACGTATCCATACTTGCTTCACCCGTCTTGAACTCAGTACGTATAGGTTATTTTGAGGCAACGAGGGGATATGTGATTTATTCACCGAGACGCGCAGCGCCGAGGTGAATAAACACATATCCCCGAGGTGCCTCAAAATAACGTACTTATTTTTCACATTGCGAGGTTGCGTTAGTGAGTCAGAATAGAAATAATTGCCTTCGTGATGTTGTTTTTTCTCATTTTTTGTGCTACAAAGACATTGCAGGTGAATATTAGAGGGGATTATTAGAGGGGAATATTGAATATATTCCCTGATAAGAACAAAGGAAACCAAGCAGGGTGAAAAATAAGTCTCATAAATATGATTAGACATCATATGATTGGCAGGTTTGATTTATTGTTTCCACACTAATGAACACTGCAAACCTAAAATCTCTAATAATTCGTATATTTAATTTAAACTCTCCAGCTAACAGCCTCCTTTCCGAGAATTAAACTTCAACTTCCGCCAAAAAGACGTTTCGGGGACAACTTTAATCCAGGTATTAAATGGTGTAGCATGTTGGACTTACCATGTAACATACAAGCATCCTTTTGACTTGAGAGTCTCTATTTGTTTAGATTTCATTGCCAGACGTGCCCAAAGGTTACAGAATTTTCTTCGAACTATTCTTCAGCACCGTAATTTGCGGATTAGGTAAGGAACGATGGACATGGGCACATTTTCTACAAAATTCCAATCCCATTCAACTGTGTATCATTTATATTTTAGCCGTGAAACTCGTGAGTTTTTTTGCCTTGATGATCCACCTGGACCATTTGACAGCTTGGAAGAAAGCAGAGTATGTAAAGTTTCTGATTAATTAATTAACCAAACCAACAACTGGTTGACTTACTACCGACTGACTGACTGACTGATTGACCCACTGACATACCGCTTGTTCATTCTTGCAGGCATATGTACAATTTCTGGAAGAACAGATGGAAAACACAAAGTCTATTGTGACGGAACTAACTTGCCAATTAGAAGCAACAAAATCGCAACTGAGCGAGGCACGCTCTCAGATCCGAAGCCTGGAATGGAACTTACGGCAACGCCATTCCCCAGACCCTCCAGGCCACTCTACTCCTGCAACCAACAGCAGTGTGTTACGCCATGCTATGGATGTCCAGCTCTCAGATATTTCCGACACTTGCCCTGGGCCTAAGGCCCGGAAAAGTGTCAGCTTTCCACAGACAAAATCAGCCAGTGAGGGCAACTTACTGCAGTTAAAACGCAGAGGGCGACCAAACTTTCCCACACTCAAAGACGAAAGTGGTTTTAGACACAGTATAACTTTTGGGGACGATTCTTTTCTGTACAATGGCTTTTTGGATGTCGAGTTTCATTCGAACGTTACACGAAAAATGAAGGAACGAAAACGCAAAGTTAGGAAAGGCAAAGTAGCTGGCAAAAAGCAGAAATATGAAGTTGAAAATTCAGGACATGAAATTAAAAATAAGGAAAAGGATAAACCAGTTAGAACTCGAAAAAGCAGAGAGCATGAAAAAGAAAAGCGAGACAGTGGAATTATTGGAGATAATTGCACCGATTCTGACTAATTTGGCTTTAGGGTTTTTTGAAAGTATTTTTATTTTGTCATCCATTGCATAGAAGGACTGATTTTTGTAAGGGTCTGTTAATTTAATAGGTTACAATGAATCATAGAATATGTCTTTAATCGACCTTGAGGAAACCCCATCCCTGATCCTCAGATAACCCCCTAACCCCCCCCCCCCCCCCCCGCCCCCTATATTAGCCCAACGAATAACCAGTTTGCCCGAGTGTTTCTGCCGTAGAGGAATGATAGCATACAAGATTTAGAATTTGTATTTTAGTGTTTTAAACTGAGGCTGAGATTACTAATTGAAGGAAAATTTTGTCATTAGTGACAATGTATGAAAAAGATTTTAGCAAACTATTTTGCTGTTTGTGTTGTTTCTACTTCGTTAAATGCTTCTTTCATTCTATATTTTCTCGTGTGTCAATTAAACCTGAAAATTAAACCTTCAGTTGCTACATACGTCATATAGGATAACAACCAAGACGTAAGTCTTTCTCTAACATGGTCCAATTTAACAAAACCTTTTTATTTTCTTTAATATCAATTTCGTCGTAATTACAAATACGTTCTTCTCAAAAGGTCTAATGTAATGACTTTATACGTCTAAAAGAAGAATATACTTTGTCCCACGTCGTATTAATCATTTGATAATGCTCTCGCATCACAAGTCGTGTTCGTTGATATAAATACTACGTGTTCAACTAAACTAATCAACCGAACGTAAATATTCATATAAATTATAGATATCAACAAATTGACAGAGCATCATTTATAGACTTCAATTCTGGTCAAAACCATCCGCGATACAGGATACTAAAACAATTCCTCTGTGACTTTGTTTTACTATTAAACCAAAATATATAGTTTACTCGTCCCCCCCCCCCCCAAAGAAAAAGTAGTACACGTACTACACGTACTACAATTGCTTTAACCGTATTCTGGGAACGCAGTTAACATTACCGAATGGTGGACGTAAGTAAGATTAAGAAGATCTTCTAAATTTGTGATGATATTACAAAATTTTAGTGTCAAATAGTTGGAAGTGTCGCAGATGTTTTGTCCACAATTACTCCAAGAAGGTGTTGTCTAAATATATTGTTCCTTGGCCTTGCAAAATATTTCCCTCGCAGAGAAAGAGTCTTTTGTATTTCTACAACTAGTCTACAATATCAATATTACAATAAATATCTTCATTCAATCCTGACGTCGGCTCCTGCAAACAAAAATAAGTTAAACAAATTAGTTATCGAAATGTCTACAAGCAACCAAATTCAACTCACATATTTTTTGTATTATCATGTTAGACACTCCTTACTTGATGGATAACTATTGAAACGAATATAACTGGAACGTTACCTTTTTCTTGAAGCCAAATCGAATCTATCACGATTGACAGATTGAGTGCTCTTCGTATGCGTGAAAAGACTGGGACTAGTCTTCAAGTTTGGCTTCAGATTCTCGGTTGGAGGTAGCGTTCCAGATATTCATTTCAATGGATCTTATCTAATGACTAGTGTATCCTTGCCAATGCATACGCGATATATAATCATACCTTAGGGCTTAGGCTTCACAGCTTGGTCGATGCCCAGTCGTGTTTTTCGGATGTTTGGACTTGAATTATATGTGGCGTTATAACGTTTCTTTTTTGTACCTTCTTTCTCAGTCTAAAAAACAGTATAAAGTAAATGCAAGCTGCTGTGTTTTATTGTGGTTCTGCACTGTACAACTCAAGTTGTAATGTAAGTATGTTGCATGCGACAACAGTTTTAAGCAAAATTGTCGGTAGTGTAAATGGACCTTGAATCGGCATTGACTCAACCAGACATAGCTCTGTTCCAACCCAAATCTCTGAATCTTACCTGAAAAAGAGTAAGATCACGACAGCAACTGCAATAAATCCCACCACACTGGCTGTTCCAACAACGATAGATTTTGATACCACATTTGAGCGCACGTAGTCGACATTTTCTACAGAGAGATAACAAAGTTGTTTTGTTTTGTTGAGTACACAATGTTTATTTTGTCAAAAAAAACTATAAACGTATTGCAAGTGCCTCGCCTTTATCCTCGTACCCAGGCTCTTTTCAGCAGGTGGCTGTGGCTCCGAGCATAAGAGAAAATAGCCTGGGTGCCTCGCCTTTATCCTTTCTTTAGGATTATGCCATATTTTGTCGTGGTGGCGGTCGTGACAATTTACAACCAGTAAAGACTGATTGGCATAGACCATACACAAAAGATAAGATAGATCTAGACTATTTCACATCGGTGACCATGACATAGTCACTGGTAACGGGACATTCCACAGCTAACTGAAGAAATAATTTCATACACAGACTCGAGACCATCAGCACTTACCATTTCTAAAGCATTCCGGGATATCTGTTGTTTTCTTTGAGCATAAAACTTTGATTTCGCCTTTTTCTTTACACTCTGCCAAAACGGCTTCTAAATCTTCATTTTCACCACAAGTTGAATCACAAGCTACCTTTCCCCATCCATGAGGACAAGAAAGCGTAGTCCCTTGTTTCATTTCACACATGAAAAGTCCAGGAACTGATTCAATTTCAAGGCAATTAATCCCACATTTCGGTCCGTACCAATCTGGTAAACATGTTCCATTTCCGTCGCATTTGAAGGTGTCTGCATTTCTATCGCAAAACTTTTCACAGTTTTCTCCAATCCAATTCGACAAACAGACTTTATAACCTTCCTTATTGCATGTGTAGCGTTTCGAGCTGTTATCACAAAATCTACTGCAATTTTTACCATACCAATCTGGTAAACATGTTCCATTTCCGTCGCATTTGAAGGTGTCTGCATTTCTATCACAGAACGTTTCGCAGTTTTCTCCAATCCAATTCGACAAACAGACTTTATAACCTTCCTTATTGCATGTGTAGCGTTTCGAGCTGTTATCACAAAATCTACTGCAATTTTTACCATACCAATCTGGTAAACATGTTCCATTTCCGTCGCATTTGAAGGTGTCTGCATTTCTATCACAGAACGTTTCGCAGTTTTCTCCAATCCAATTCGACAAACAGACTTTATAACCTTCCTTATTGCATGTGTAGCGTTTCGAGCTGTTATCACAAAATCTACTGCAATTTTTACCATACCAATCTGGTAAACAGTTTCTTTGGCCTTTGTCATTGCATGTATAACGTATCGAGCTTGTGTTGCAAAAGACAGCGCAATGTTCTCCATGCCAATTACGTGAGCACGTTTTGTTGCCGTTACTTTCACATCGATAGGTTGTAGCGTTTCTTTCGCAATATACAGAACACTTTTCACCATACCAATTTGACAAACAGATAATTTCACCATCATCAGAACAGTTATAAGTATTCGAAGTTGTGTCGCAAAAATTCGTGCAATTTATGCCATACCAATTTTGTAAACAAGTTATTTTTCCTTTGTTATCACAGATGTAATGTGACGTGGTGTTGTCACAATAATCAATGCAGTCTGGTCCGTACCAATTTTGAAAACAAATTTTCCTTCCAGTGCTACTGCAATTGTAGTTCCCCGAGCCGGCATTACAGTACGTGGTACAATTGTCCCCAAACCAATCTCGGTCGCAAACTATTTCCCCGTGTTCATTACATCTTTCATTGACTTTAGTTTCATTACAAAATTTGGTGCAATTTTCAGCGTACCAATTCTTCAAACAAACTTTTCCTCCAGTACCATTACAACTGTAAGTTTTTCCCGTGGTGTCGTCACAGTAAACTGAACATTCTGTACCATACCACTTGGGAAGACACGACTTCGTACCGTTAGATGAACATCTGTACCGTGTGGAACTTTCGTCACAAAACTTCCCGCACGCATTTCCGAACCAGTTGCGAACGCAAATTTTTTCTCCATTATCAGAACAGTTATAATTCGTTGCATTTTGATCGCAAAATGTGGAACAATCATTGTTAAACCAGTTTGGAAAACAGGTTCTTCCACCATCTCGACTGCAGCGATAGTCGGATGCAGTTTCGTTGCAAAAGATATCGCAATTTTTCCAAAACCAGTTTTGTTTACAAAGTTTACTCCCATTTCTTGTACAGTTGTAATTTTCTGCGCTGATGTTGCAAAATTTGTCACACACATTTCCAAACCAATTACTGTCACAAATTATGCTCCCATTGGAAGAACACTGGTAGTTTTCTTTGGTGGTGTTGCAAAATGTTAAACAATGTTCATCAAACCAATTTTTGAGACAAATTTTCACGCCATTTTTGTTGCAGTTATATGTTGACGCACTGTTGTTGCAAAAGGTTAAACAATTTTGACCATAGTAGTTTGTTATACAGTGTTTTTGTCCCGTGTTGTCACAAGTGTATGTTTTTGATGAGTTATCGCAAAACATTGAGCAGTTCGTACCAAACAAGTTTTCAAAACAGGTTTTCTTGCCATTCATATCGCACTGATAGGTCGACGAAGTTAAATTACAAAATGTTGTACAATTCTCACCAAACCAGTTTGTCAGGCATCCCTTTTCGCCAGTCTTGGAACATTTGTAGTTTCCAGGCGGGTCAGTTGGCTTGACACAAGTCTTAAGACAATTTTCACCAAACCACTTTGGAAGACATTTTTTATTGCCGTTATGACAAGTGTAGTGCCCTGTGCTGTTGTCTTGAGGCACGCAAGGAAGAAGGCATCCTGGATTGTTGCATTTTAATCTCGTTCTTGTTTTAAGTGTCCATTTATCGGAGACGATATAATATGTTTTAAATTGTTCTAACCGTGGTATAATCTTGCCAGCCTGGCCATAGATTGTACTGTTGGTTGGACTTGTTGTGTCACATGATTGCCCAGATGGACGTTTCCACACAGTTGCGCTCAGTTCACTGTTGTCCTAAAATGTGCGTTTAAAAGATGGTGTAAAGTGAAATTGGCAATGATGCTAAAAGTATATTAATGCCAGTGCCGTCGCGAGGACTTCGCGTCAGGGGGGGGGGGTGTTCGGTCATATTTACCTGAAATTATCAAAATTTAAAATTTTACCGGAAACCAAAAAAAAATTTTCCAAAAATTATTGGCGACCTCCCCCCGTCGCCAAAAAATTTTCCGGACATAGTACCATTTTACGATAACGTACAAAAAAATTTCCGGATATATCTTTATTTTTTTCTGAACATCCAAAAAAATATTTATTTATAATCCTCACCTTCCAGTCAATATATTTAAATCTATATTCAACAGGATTGGGAAAACCAACTTTTTTAGGATTAATCCAAAATACAAGAGCTGTGCCTGTTGTAGTGTTGAGGTTACAACGTGGAAATCCTGAAGATGATGTCGTCACACACAACTTAATACATTTTGGTTTCCTGTCGTCGTTTGCCGTACCACGGTATTCTTTTAAGTCAACATATAACTCTCCTTGGCCGTAAGTAACCTGGAATTGTAATTATACACAAACAGATAAATCCATATTATGATCTGTATGGACCGGATAATGGTATGGACAAACTTGGGCGGAGAAATATAACTAGTTCATTATAAAATGGTTCGTTGCAACCATTCCAGGTAGTTGATTCAACATTTTTCGTCCGAAGAAAAGCATCTTGAGAATCCAAAATGTAGATCAAAATCAAGACAAAATTTTATACCGGGTGGCCAAAAAAAAGTACTCCTGTTTGATTCGTAATAACTTCTAAACAAGTAAAGTTTTAAAAGAGAAATAACTTGCATTAAATAGAGGAAGGACTAACTTAGATTTTGATATATTACAGCTGTATTTAACTTAAAAATTCACGGATATATTAATGTTAAAAATGGGGAGCATATTTTGGAATGTGTCTAAAATTAGCGAAAATCGGCATATCAAATATTAACTCCAGCGTTTGTTTGTTTAATGACATATTAGGCTAACTTGTATTTCAGCGAATTATCGTTAAGGTTTGTAAGGGATATGGCGTAGATTTAGACATCTTACATGTAAGTCTTAGCTCATTGTTTCCTGAAATATGAACGTTCGAAATTATGCAAGTATTTAATATTAGGTCTTTGTAAACTTAAATGTACATGAAAGACTGACCATGGAAGGCAGGCGCTTAAATTTTTCGTATTCTTAAATAGCCTAATTTTTTTATGTTTTTAATGGGTTCAAACAGACTGAGTAGATTATTTCTCGGTTAGAGCAGGATGAATATTCTTTATTGAAGGAAATAATATTGCTTTTGGCAAATACACATCACCGTATCAACGCTACTATTTTGTTACGTTTTGTTCCAAAAATGTTGCATGTCTCTGGGGAGTTGCTTAATTGTTATGTCTTATGGAGTTGTATGGTTTGATTGTGTTTCATATAATTCTCAGTTTACTCCATGAACTTGCCAAGATTAAGAAATGGCAAAAGAGTTTGGGTGTTCTTAACAAGATTTCAGAACGTTGCAGAAGTTAGAAGAGCTTCACAATTCCGTTGTGACAGCATGCCCTAATTCAGAACTACGAACGATCCAATGACGATCCTTCGCGATGCAGTGGTCTCATGAAATAAGGAAACGTATTCGTGCTAGGAACACACGCGAATTTCGGACGAACGAATCTTGCTTGTATTTTGTAGATATAATAATACTTTGTTTCATAATAAACAATTTGTCAAGTGTCATTTATTTACTGGTAATAGTGCATGTTTCAGTCGGGCAAATCTTGATTAATATTTGATACGCCGATTTTTGCATATTTCAGACACATCCAGAAATATCCTCCCGAAGATATATATATATATATATATACGTATATATGTGTATATATATATATATATATATATATATATATATATATATATATATATATATATATATATATATATATATATATATATATATATATATATATATATATATATATATATATATATATATATATATATATATATATATATACCTTTGGTATATAGGTATATATGTATATCGAAATGTGTATATCGAAATGTTTTATAATTTGAATTTAAGTCCTTTCTTCAAACTACTGTAACTGAAGATTGCTACAACAAAAATTAAATACTGTACTGGAACGTTCCATGTTGATCATGTTGCACCCTCGACGCCATGTCACCCCGTCCCCCTTTAGAAGCCTCCTTCCGCCTTGTTATCGTTTCAATTCTACACCACTAACTAGTAATTCCCATCCTCGTCTACAGTGCTGTGTCCATCTAGCCAAATAATTTTATACATGTAAGTTATGTAACGTCTTGCATTTTTCATTGATTCACTATTAATACGTACTCTGTCTTGTATTTTTTTTTCTGTATCCTTTAGGAGTTTTTGAATGAAGCATTTAATTTCGAATCCAAGCAACCAACGAACAGCATTTCTTCGAACAATGGTAAGACTTGCAACCTCACAAGTATCATTGGCGATAATGGACCCGATAAAAATTCAAATGGCTACAGTAAACACAATCTTTTACGCAGCAAAGGATCGTCAGTAAACACGTTTCCTAATTCTGGTAGTTCTGCTGGATGTCTCAGACCATCGTCGGTTAATTGTGGGAGACCCAATAATGAAGACGCAAATACAAAGCGTATAGGAAATTTCAATGAGAATTTTTCTTCAGAACCTCCATTAAAGAAGCAAAATTGTGTAACGGAGAACCGCAGTCCGAGTTTGGGAAGTGATCAGTTATATAATTCCACTGGAATTACAAGGAACAATGCAAGTGAACACATAATTGGTATTGATAATATGTTGTCAGAATCAAAGACCTCAAAGTCTTTCGATTTTAACCCTGCTGTTAGTTCAAGAGCTACTAGTAATTTATCAAATGGACTGAGATACACACAAAATACTACTTCTGCGGTTTCATCACCAAGGTTGACGAATAATAGACCAGGAAGCTTAGCTGGGTCTTGTACGCCTCTACGCAAGAATACCTTGTGTGACCAGCGAAGATCACCAGCAACAAACTCATTTACACCAAACATATACAATGAAAGAGACGCGTCTCAGAACTTATTGCGAAGCACTATATCACCTTCAGTCAGTAAACAGTCACATCATTTAAGGGGAACGGGTGGGTCTGAGGTTCGGAATGATTCTTTGTTTACCCATAACCGTATCCATGATTCTAATCCTTCACTAACATCAAACAGATACAGAGAAAGAGACTCATCTCAGAAATTGTTACGAAGCACGATGTCACCTTCAGTCAGTAAACAGACTCCTGAGTTTAGAATTGCCAATGATTCTTCAAATCACTTAAGGGGAACGGGCAGGTCTGAAATTGGGAATGATTCTTTGTCTACCCATAACCGTACCAATTCTAATCCGCCAGTAACACCAAACAGATATACTCACAGAGACTCATCAGTAGACAAACATGGAAGCAAAGTATCAACTTCAGCTAATTCACATACTCCAAAGCTAAGAGGTTTTCCGAAAGAATCGCCAGTTCAGAGGAATTTAAGAACACCAACAACTGAAAGGAGATGTTTTACTCCGAGAAGATTTCCTGGACCTGCTGGGATTCTGCCAAGACTGGTAAGTCTTCCATACTGTTTACTCTGTTAATTATTGTTACTGATGCCGATAATTTTCTATTACATATTTATGTTAGGATGTTTACACAGAGCCTAAAATAACGTTCAAAAATGGTTAGGAAAAAAGTGCG